CTATGAGTCAGTTCCGACTCGATGGCACCTAACAACAATTGCCATTTCTAAAAAATGTTTTTATGGGAAAATTCATTCAAAGTGCCAATAATTCTAGGACACATCTCAGGTGCAAAGAGATAAGAAACTCCTATTTTATTCAACACCATCATTCCACACCCTGCCCACAAGCTGGCTTCGAAAATAAAGATTATAGAGGTTCTAAAGCCACCGTTTGAACTGCAAGGTTAGCAGTTCAAGCTCACCAGCTGCTCCTCGGAAACCCTTTACAGGGTCACTATGGTTCAAAGCCGACTCGAAGGCACTAACAACAAGAAAGCCACCAATACTGCCTCCTATGGATTCAGAAACTATTTTAGGAGAGGGGGCTTCCAACAGGCTCACTGACACTTCCTGTTTCCACTGGCTCTCCATCATACTTGTTCTTTCTCTATAGGATCAATGATTGATGATCCCACAGGAAAAAGATTAATGTTGTGCATAAAGGATTCAAGCAAAAAACATTTACAATACTACCTACCACTATTATGGAGTACCTATTATGTTCAAGGACTTCTGGTGTGGTGCTGTGGGTTAATGCAATGGACTGCAAAACCGTTTGACTGCAAGGTCGGTGGTTCAAGCTCACCAGATGGCTCCTCAGAAACCCTAACTCAACGGCACTTAACAATTATGTTCAAACTTTATTAAGTGCTTTCCATATTTCATTTTACTTGGTTTCTTACAAACTTTTGACTTTGAAATGATAAATCTCCATTCTGTAGATGACTGTTAACAATGACCCAGCCAATGATCATACCTATCCTTTCCCTCTTTAGTACTTGTCTAGCAAATTTATGACCCTAAAAAAATTCAACCATTACCATTCACCAAGGGGTGGGTATGTACCATTGGTATTTTGGGAGGGAGGAGAAATCGCACAATTGGAATTGTTGTTGCTATTACAAAATGCCATCAAATTGGTTCTGACTTATAGCGACCCCATACAAGGTTTCCTAGAAGTTGCTGGTGGGTTTGAACTATTGATTAGCGTTCATCCTACAGTGCAACATCACTAAAAATGTCACCAGCTACAAACAGGTATTGCTCAGCAAATGGTATTCCTAACTCACTTTAACTTTCTGTATGTACACTATTTTATACCTTTCCTTCTATCTACAGATCTTCCTCTACCTGAACTTTCCAAAATTACTCACAAATTAATTATTCTACTTTCTTTCTACCAAGTATATAATTCATCTTCTCTCTTGTTGCATAGTGAAAATGTCCAACTTCCTCTCAGAGGCAAGTTTCCCCTCATGTGCCCATCCCCTCACATCTGCTCAAGGACATCCTTCTTTTGATGATTGTTATTTGCCGTCAGGCACCATCAATTTCTCCCTCTCCCCAGCCTGCCTTGGAAGCTTTATGAAGGGTCACTATGAGTCAGAACTGACTCCATGGCACGTAACTAACCACTACTGCCTCTACAAAATCCTATGCTGATTCTTTATCCATTAAATTCTGCACTTCTTCTGGATGAAATGCCGGGCCCTCTGTTCATCTCTCTCGAAGTGATTTTATTCATATCCAAAATATACTGACAACCCCCAAAACTTTTAATTCAGTCCAGACCAGTCATTTAGCATCTCTGCCTGTCTGTTTTAAAGCATCTCAAACATGTTAAAATGAATTCAGTTTTAGCATGTTCATCTCCTTTAAACCTACTTCCCTCTCCAGTCTTTCCTATCTTCGTCTTTTCAAGTCTTTCCTAATTATCCCATACTTCTCCATTATAAAGGAGCCATGGTGGTGCAGTGAATAAAATGCTTAGGTGCTAACCAAAAAGGTAAGCAGTTCAAACCCACCAGCAGCTTGGACAAAAAGATGTAGCCGTCTGCTTCTGTAAAGACTGCAGCTTTGGGAACCCTATGGAGTAGTTATACTCTGCCATATAGAGGTTGCTATGAGTTAGAATTGACTTACCAGCAGTGAGTTTTTATTTGTTTTCGTTTTTTGCTTTTTATTCTCTATTACAGAATTAAAGACTTTACTTTTTTGTAGCTTTAATGTCTACAACAACATGGGCAAGTGCCACATCTGTTTCATTTGCCACTGTTTACCTAGTCCCTGGCATAAAGCCTACTGTAGCGTATATACTCAAGTCATTTGTTGAACCAATAGGAGCTCCTGACCAGAAATGAGTATGTCACAGTGAATCACACAAGTCAGGACTGCTTGTAGGTCACTGGCTACTACTCATTCTATTTCAAGGTTTCATGTTCTAACAATGTCTCACAATCTCCTTAAATTATTTCAGTCTACGTTACCTGAGGTGTTCGCTGCAATTCATACAAACTGAGTTCCCATGTTTTGCTTAAAGGCTGAGTTCCATTCGTCTGCACAGCCTGAGACATTGCTATGAATAAAAAGGAGAAAAAACAATTTTAGTATTTGAAAGGGCAATAAATCTCAACACTTATTTTTTAGGATTTGGAAATAAAAATAGAAATCACATACACAATTTTCTCAAAATTAAAAGAGAAAAAACTCAATCTTTCCTTTTGCAAATATAAACTATTTGAAGGCAACAGACTACCACTAACTGAACGCCACCAGCTGGCACACAAAAATTACTGTTCAATATGTAGAAGACAGTCTTGAAATAAACAATTTTTTTCCTGAAACTGATGATCATGGAACTTAGAACAAAATCCCAGGAAAATTCCAGGCTCTGCAGCACAGCTATCTAGTTCAATTTTGCCTGAAATATAGAATCTACTTGGGCTGTTGTTAGGTGCTGTCGAGTCAATTCCAACTCATAGTGAACCTATACAGGCATAAACAAAACACAGCACAGCCCTACACCACCTTCACAATTGTTATGTTCGAGCCCACTACAGTGTGATCATTGTGTAATCCGTTTCGTTGGGGAAGCTTCCTCTTTTTTTTTTTTCCACTGACTCTTCACTTTACCAAGCATGATGTTCTTTCCTAGGGACCGGTCCCTCCTGATAACATGTCCAAAGTATGTGACACAAAGACTCGACACCCTAACGTCTGAGGTATATTAAACAGAGCTATTTTTCTTCTTCCTGCATTCCTTGGTACTTTTACTATTCTTCACCAACACCATACTATAAATATGATAGAGTCTTCTCAAGTCTTCATTATTCAATGTCCACCTTTCACATGTATATGAGGACACTGAAAATACCAAGACTTTGGTCAGGCATAGCCTACTCCTCAAACTGACATCTTTGCTCTATAACACTTTAAAGAGGTCTTTTATAGCAGACTGCTGTTGTAGGTGGTTGAGTGGGTTCTGATTTATAGCAACCCTATATAGGGTTGCCGAGAGCAGCTGATGGGTTTGAACTGCTAACCTTGTACCAGTTTCACTGCTTGCTTATCCTATAGCACCACACCATGGTTCCTCTAACAAATAAGCCTAATTAAAATACATTGTTTGATTTTTTGCCGCTCCCTTGAGCACTGACTGTGAATCCAAGTAAAATAAAATCTTTCACAATTTGAAAGATTTTACCATGATGGTATTTACTGATCCACCCAACCACACCTACTGAGTTGATCCCAACCCACAGCAACTCTGTTTATCTTTCTTTACAGAAACAGAAAGCCTCCTTTCTCCTGCAGAGCAGCTGGTGGGTTTGAACTGTCAATCTTTTGGTTAGCGGTCCAGTGCTCATCTACCACCAAGGTTCAGTAATTATTAGTCCAATTATGAGAATTTTTATTTTCTTTACAATAAGGTGCAATCCATATTGAAGACCATATCCTTTGATCATCACTGGTAAGTATATTAAGTACTCTTTGCTTCCAGCGAGCACAAGTGTATCATCTGCATATCAAAGGTTGTTAATGAGTCTTCCTCCAAACCTGATGCCACATTTTTCTTCATGTAATTCAGGATACGACCCTGAGGCACACACACTTTTTCTGATTTTAAACAATTCAGCATCCTCTTGTTCTGTCTGAACAACTGCCTCTTAGTCTGTGTACAGGTTCCTCATTTACACAATTAAGTGTTCCATATGATGGTCCTTTAAATCACTGGTTATTCTGTCTCTACGTTCACAGCTCCACTCATGAAAACTTCTCTACCTAATAAGTCAGTTTGAACTTTCAGAAAGCTCTTCCTAATATTGAGTCTCAGAATTCCACCTAATTTAGAGACTATCCCAAGAGAAGATGTGATGCATTAAACACTAATGACCGAAGACCAAAAAGCTATGAGATAATATCAAGAATATCATACAGGAAGAAAGTAAAAGATCATTCATTAAAAAGACAAGAAAGAAAGAAAAGAGCAAAACGGGTATCAGAAGACTCTGAAACTCCAGCTAGAGATGTTAAAGTGAATGGGGGGAAATGAAGTAAAAGAGATGAACATAAAATTTCAAAGGGCTGCTTGAGAAGACTAAGTATAATGAGACTTCCAGCAAGATGGTGGATTAAGGAGACATACTACACAGACCCTTGACAACAAAGATATGAAAGATCAAATGAAACAGACACAGATGAAAATTTTGGAACCCTGAACTTCAGAGTTAGAGAAGCGAAAACAAACCTAACAAGATTGAAAATAGGGAACCAGAGAAGACAAATTTATAATGAAGTCAACTACAAAGCAAAAAGAGGAAATAATGTAGATAGAGAATTTCCAAATGGCAAGGAAATCAAGTAGATTTAAAGATAAAACAAACTGCTTTAAGGAGGGAACAAACTTGATGGCACTTAACAACAAAGTCCTTTCATAGTTGGTCCCTAGTTATTCTCCCACTAAATTGCTTGTACCCAACTGCTTAAACCACAAAATGATTTTCACTACTCTCAAATACGCCATCAAGTTTTATAATTCTGCACATCATATAAACTAAATTAACCTCTCATCAACCTCCTCACTTCAACACACGAATCCTACAAAAACTGTTTAGTGATCTCTTACTTGAAGAAGCCACACTCCAGAGTATTAGCCTGCAGTGCCACACCAGGACTCCTGAATTAAGTTATAAAGGGCAACTACTGAAACCTCTATGAAAATGCATTGCCTACTTTATATCTTTGATTAACACACAATGAAGATTTTACTAGTTGATGTCATTGGAGTCCTTGGTGAGACGCTGTAGGATAAGTACTGGACTGTTAACTGCAGTTCCAACCCACCAGAATCCTACACTTGTTGTTAAGTGCCATCAAGTCGGGTTCCAACCCATAGCCACCCTATATAGGGTTTCCGAGGAGCAGCTGGTGAGCATTGGGTCTCTTTAAATTGAAACTGACTCAAAGGCACTTAACAACAACAGTTGATGCCATTATCTTAATCCACATTCTTTTGAAGTGTAATAGTAGACATGCCAGTTCTTATTACCCTACCACAACATGCATTTTAGCCAGGAAATCAAACCAGTTCCTTCCAGTGTGACACCTTGTTGAGAAGCTGAATTTCCCCTGATACACTGTATCCGAATCCACATTTTAACAAGATTCCCTGGCATATGGGAAAGAGAAATGAATTGAAATCTAATGAATTTTTTCCAAAACTTTTTGAAGCTCCTTCATACACAAAAATCACCTAGGGATCTGCATGAATCACGTAGGGATCTAGATTCTAATGCAGTATATCTGGTGTGGAAATGCAAATTCTCCCCAGAAAGTCAAACTGGAGTGAACTGGTACAAATGATTTCAACACACTCAGATCTTTTAAAAGTAACATACGTATTTATCCTTTAAATAGCTAGCCCTGGAAGCACAGTGTTAAAAGCATTGAACTGTTAACCATAAGGTCAGCAGTTTAAACCCACCAGCTTTTCCACGGGAGATAGATGAGGCCATCTGCTCCAGTAAAGATTTCCAGTCTCAGAAGCCCTAAAGGACAGCCCTACTCTGTCCTATAGGGTCACTAGGAGTCAGTATCTTTAAAAAAACAAAACCAAAATTAACTTGTGAATTAAAAGATGGTATTTTTAAAATACATGTTAAGGACACCAAAAGAATAAAGTAACATTCTTTAACAAAAAAATTTGCCAAAAAATTCTGCCAAGTCACTTATTGTTAAATGTCATAGAGTCAGTTATGACTC